GTCCCTCGAAGAAATCAAGGCAGCCCAAACTTATATTCTACTAAATTGTGTAGAGGTTGAGCCATTTGTAAGGTATTATTTTTTAATAATAATAAATATATCCATATATTTTGAGTATGTATTTAACTTATTTTTTTGCAATGAAGTATGTACATACAACGGTTGCAAGAAGAATTCCCCAACCTATCTCAGGATCAAATAAATGAGAGTCTCGAAACGTGGTTTGCTATATGGTTCAAAGAATATGTAAGACTATAAAAATCATTATCTTTTAATCAATTATGTACTTAAATTGGCTTGTTATATTAAACCAAGTCTTATAATTTTTTTGAAATAGGTCCGATGCAACCATATTGAGAACCAATTCTTGCGTAGTCTTGCTCATGGACCATTAATAAGCACAAAATGTTATCCGGTGTATTTTGTTAATGGATACAAATTTCACACGGAATGTCATGGTAGTGCAAGATCAATAATTAATAGTGGAGTTTGTATCTCGGATACAAATATTGGTGACTATTATGGACAGATACAAGAGATTATACAATTGGAATACCACGAAGAACCTTTAAAGAAAACTGTGTTATTCAAGTGGGAATGGTTTGATCCAACTGTGAATGTTGGTGTCAAAGAGCACAACCAATACAAACTAGTCGATGTGAACCATCACCATCGTTTTAACAAGTACGAACCTTTTATTCTTGCGATGCAAGCAACTCAAGTGTGTTATGTGCCTTATCCTAGCACGAAAAAGGACAAGGATGATTGGGTAGCTGTTTTGAAAGTTAAACCTCGGGATGTTATTGAACTTCCTGATGAGGCAATAACATCAACTCCAGAACCGACTCTTCCATTCCAAGTTGAAGAAGTTAAAGCCCATTTGATAGATATGAATTTCACCACTGATGAGAATATAATATTTATTGATCCAAATGGGGATGTAATTGAAATGGTTGAACCCATTAATGATGAACTATTGATAGAGAATCCAAAGTTCGAAAAAGAATCTTCAGAAGACGAGTGTGAAACTGAGGATGAAAATAAGGAGGATGATGAGGAAGAGTTTGAAGAAGAAACAGATGATGACTAGTGTGTTGATAATGCACTAGTATATTTTTTTTGAATTTTATTTTTCTAGTAATCTGTGTGGTATGTTATAAGTTATGTATCTATTTTGTAGTATAATCTATAGAGAATCGAATCGAATATCACGTTTGTATTAATCTAAATGGTATAGTACTCTTCTAGCTTACGTTGTGTTGTGCCTCTTTTTACATTAGTCTGACTTTTTTTTGTAGCAGTAGAATAATATTTATTATCAACTTAATAGTGTTACCTGATTAATCTATCTAAATTCAGAATTAATTGGAGCCAAGATTGTTGTATTTTGGTCTAAAGAAGTTATCAAATTCAACAATATATTCAGAGAGTTACTTCCTCCGTTGGCTCATGTGTTTAAACTGGTTGTCATTACATGAAAATACGTGATATTTTAGACAAGGAAAGGCTTAGTCATTTTACTGAATAGTAATAACAACATATTGAGAAGCATGTATTTTTCTGCTTTGTGTTGCTTCAATACTGGATTCTTTTAATGAATCTACCTTTGTTTCTTTGCTGCTAAAATGAGCTAAAGAAGCAAGCTTATTAATAGAATCAGCAATTTGTTCGACACAAATGACGATATCGGTTGGTATTGATGCAACTGCAGCCACTGGTATGACTTCTAGTAAGTTAATATCTTCCCAGAAACCTGATATGACAAGTGATTTCAGGTTCTTGACTGCAGTTTTGGCGTTTGAGACATGTTTATTAGCCGACAAGAGAGAAGTCATTGTTTTTATTGAACGTGCTAGTTCTTTTAGTTCTTTCCCAGATTCTATGCTCATTTTTGTTATTGTTTCCTTGATCATTCCCTTGATCTCTTCAGGCGCCTGCAATGGAGTATGGTAGCTTATGTTAGTTCAAATATAAGAGTTTAACTTAGCTTCTATGTGGTGATACGTTACACTATCACTTGACATAGCAAGGGATCTAATTTATGAAATCTGACAAACTTGTAAAATTAAAATACTAACTGAGTTTTAAATGCAACTGCTCTTTTGATGGAATTTATGGGAAAGATTGAGATTCACTTTCAATATGCTGCTATACAAAGTTTCAGTAGTCTCATTTCGAACTACATCGAGATGGAGAACTAGATCCTCTTGATGTATAGCCAAAACTGTGAATATGGACATCTTAATCATTCATCTGCTTCTTAATGCGACATGTTACTTACTCATACGTTTTTCACATCAGTTGGTCGGATAAATGGTTTTTGCTTGAATTTTTTGTAACTTAGCTTCTGCTTGTTTGAATTTTTAGAGACTATACTGCTCAAGTTATGTTGGAGCATCCCATTGCAGGCCAAGAAAAGGAGCAATTGGAAATATGCCTCGAGGTAGAGGTCGAGGTAGCGCAGGCCGTGTAGGTAAATCTTCAGTTAGGGGTAATTTTGCTACTCGTGAAATTATGCCTACTTTTCTCATTCCTACAATCAATCCTCAACAAAGTGGTACGAGTTCCTCAGGTGGACCGGATCACATCAATTAAGTTCAAACATTAGGTCCTAGTAGTATGCCACCAGTTCAAACATCAGGCCATGGTAGTACCCCAACTATTAATTTGGAACCATCTCCAAATACCCCTAATCAGAGCAACACAATAGGCGAGGGTACATCTTCTCAAAGCAACATAATAGGCGAAACTGAGTGTAGCAATACCCGCCGACCGTGAACACTTATTGCTATTTCTCCTACAGGGTTAGTCCATACTTGTACTATTACTTTTTGTATATTGTTATTGATACATTGTATTCCTTTAAATAATGTCTTCTAATTTGTTCAGGTTAGAGCCTTTATATGAATGCTCTGAGTTTATAACTAAGTCTTTCAAGAATGAACTTGATCCTAATGGATTCAACTGGAAAAACATCTCAAATGAGTTAAATTTTTTTTATTTTGGAGAATTCAAGGTATAATCCATCACAATTAGATTTTGAAATTATATTAACTTATATATGTAACTTATTAATGTTATTACTTTATAAAATTATTTAAGAAGGCTTTCTACTGGGATTCTTCAATTGATAGTGCGGTGCAGACCCAATGGGAGCGTAGGGCAGCAAAAAGATACAGTGATTTTGTTAGCAAACTAAAAGCAAATATGGTGCAACCAGACACTATTCCAAATAATGTGTGGAAAAGTTGGTTGAGACTTCGGAAAGATCCTAAGTGTGTTAAAAAGTCAGAAATAAATGCAAAAACGTTTTGTGGTGGGAGCAAAATTGCTACTGGGACTCATACATATGGCTTTATCAGTTTTGGGGAGCATCCCAAGAGACTTATAAGTGTATTTATAACTTTTTCCTCTCATTGATAGTAGAATTAGCAATCTGCCATGCCCCTTTGAGAATAGAGGCTTCTCCAACTAGCACTCTTCTTTGTCTCAAATAGGTTATTACTACTTGTTTTAAGTAAGTCAAAATAAACCAAATGATACCTTGGAAGTGGGATATGCAATTCATTGACTGTCCTTTTCCTCATTCTCTCTATAAATTGAAAATTGGAAAAAGGGATTCTTTCAATAAGGGCATCTTAAGTTGGCTCCTCGAGTCCTAGATGCCTCTCTTTAGTGCCGGCCCACCAAATTGCAGAAGACATAAATAATAGACTATATTACTACTAGAAAACAAAGAGCATTTTGTTTCAACTTTTGCTAGGCTGTGATTCATGGGTGCTGTTGGTAGCTCAAATGGTTATTATAGTATAAATCACCTAAAAAAGACGGTATAAAGGATCTTTTGCATGTCTTTTGAACCAAAAAGGTTTATAGATTTTTTAATGTAGTAGTTGCTTTTACCATTATAATTCATCTTTCCTCCTTTTGCCTATTCTCAATAAGTGTCATGAATCAGTGTCATGGAGGAGAGCATGGGGGCAATGTCATGAATCAGTGTAAGAGTGTAACTGTGAGAGTGCTGGCAGAACAAAAAAAAAATTCTCGACTATCAGCAGTTCATAATATACTGATAATATGCTAACATTATGTGAAGAAATACTAAAAGATGTCTGCAGTTGGTTACAACAACAAGAACATACCCAGTAGTAGGAATATAATTTGGAATAGGATGTTTGGAAATGGAATACATTTGAGATGCAACACTCAAGAAAGTCAACTTTTAACATGGTAGGATGTTTATTTGTTTGGTTCTTTATTTTCGGTTTAAGTAAGGTCACTCTCTTTGTAATTTCTTCATTACTTGAGGGTTCCTTAGAAGCTCAGTGAGTATCCATTCTACTAATGTGGCTGAAGTGTCCATTGCTGCAATAAGCATGTCCCGTATATTGAAAAGGAAGCAGAATCAATATTAAAGATAGTTGTATTTTGAGCTTATATTAGTATGTGAATAATATACAAATACATACAAATCAGTGATGTGGGTAAGACATTTCTACTGATTTTGTTTTCAGTTGCCATGTAGTTCCACATATAGTTTCATTGGTTACTTGTCCTACCTGGAATAATTTTATTGGTTACTTGTCCTCCATGTAGTTCCATATATAGTTGTAATTCCTGACTAGAATCTGGATTGTTCCTAGAGTATTATTGCTGCCATTAGTTCCTAATTGCACAACTATACCCTTTTGTTTCTCTATCTTTTTAATTGAATAATTTTTGTATAGGCTATTAAAAAGGGTCGAGATCCAACACCAAGTGAGTTGCATTTGCACGTCCATACTCAGGGTAATGATGAAAAATCTTTTGTTGCTGAGAAATCCTGAATCGTACATGTAAGATAACTTTTTAATTGACTTTACTTTCATTTATTTTTTTCATTTTGTAAATTGAATGTTCTTATTAACTCTTCTACAGGAAAAATATCAGTAGATATTACAACAACAAACACAAACTCAATCTGATATTGATCAGTGTAAAGCATATTATCAAGCCGCCGGAGGAGAAAAGAAAAGAAGAGTATATGGCCTTGGATCGCAAGTAAAATGCTACTACGGGCCAAATCTTCTTGGCTTTCTTGGATCTGATGCTATATCGTCAACAACACGTCCAAATTCTCAATAAACACCGATAGGGAATCTGGATGAGTTAGTGATGCGATTGATTCGTGCACTGACAGATCATATAGTTCCTGTAATCGTTGAGCGGGTACGCAAATTAGTTTCCTTACCCTCGCATCATCCAAATACTAATATAGCACCTATAGTTCCAACATCTTCTACTGCTAATATTGATGAGGTTCATGCATTGGGTTCTGATGATGACCGTAACTCTCCAGCCTAATATAGTTACCTTACTTTGTTTGGACATTATTGTTCGTCCTTGTGGATTTTTTGTACTTAATGATACTGTTATATGCATTATGCTATATATTTTGGACCTTGTTGAATTTATATTAATATCAGTGACTTTTTATTAAGTGTATTTAATAGTTTATGTATATGTTTGAACAGAGTACATTTAAAATAATAAATAATTTTTTTTAAAAAAACCAGCAATATAGTAAAAATAAATCAGCGACGGATGCGTTCCGTAGCTAAAATTATCGCGTAAAATTAAATCTTGCGACGAATTGGCGACAAAAGGTATTTTTTGCAAAAAGCAGGGACAATAAGCTATAACACGGCTAGCGATGGAAAATTTCGTCGCTATAAGAACAAACGACGAATTTTATTATGTATTGCAGCGGCGAAAGACATCAAAATAGCGACAGAAACAAGCTATATAGCGACGGATATTTCGCTCGCTGACCTTTGCTACAAAAATATGTCGTCGCTACTTCGTCGCTAATTCTGCGACGGTTTGGTATTTTTCTATAAGCTTAGCAACGAGAATTTTAGGGACCAACTTGAATCCATCGCTATTCCGTCGCTAAACAACTTTAGCGACAGAAAACATTGATTTAGAGATGGAATGCAACCGTCGATAAACGCTGTTTTTTTTGTAGTGTTAGTGGATTTTCCTGCTTTTTCCTTGACTTGTACTTAATCTAAACTATAGAATTTCTTGCTGTAACGATTATTTTCATTATTTTGACTATGTATTTACTTTGGGACTACGGAACGGTATTCCAGGAGACCCCCTGCATATATACTTTGGGACTACGGGACGGTATCCTGGGAGATCCCCTTGCATATTTAATTTGGGACTACAGAATGGCATCCCGGGAGATCCCCCTACACATTTACTTTTGGAACTACGAGATGGTATCTCAGGAGATCCCCTGTTGTTATTCCTGTGTAGTGTATTGATATTCTTTTGTGAATTCCTCTTTGTTAAAATTTCAGTCTCTTATTACACTGTGATATTTTTATTCTGCCTTATTAATTTATATATACCAGTAGGGCCCTAACCTGACCTCGTCACTACTCGACCGATGCTAGGCTTGACACTTGTTGATTACCGTTGTGGTGTACTCATGCTACTCTTCTGCACATGTTTCGTATGATACATGTACCTCCTACCAGCCCCGCTGTTAATTGCATTCTTGCTGCTGCTCCAGAGACTTCAAGATGTCGTTCCTCCTTTACTTCTTCCAGATGCTGATGTATAGAGCAGTTAGACAAATTCTTTGAAGCTTGTGACTTATGATGGTCCGGGTCTTGGAGAAATTCTGTGTATATTCCAGAGTTGGTTTTGTACATGCCGAGCGACATTATTACGAGTTACTTAAATATATGTTGCTATTAGTTGTTGAGGTTTTGCTTTCATTTTGGGTAATTCCACAATGTTAGGCTTATCTATTCGTAGGGACTAGGTGCCGTAAGGATATCTCAAGGAGGTAGGATTGGGTCGTGACAAGTTGGTATCAGAGCTCTAGGTTCATAGGTGTTGTGAGTCACAACCAAGTTTAATAGAGTCTCGTGGATCGGTATAAATACGTTTGTACTTATATTCAGGAGGCTATGGAACTGTTAGGCAGATTTCACTTCTTTTGATTCCTTGTCGTGTTAAATTGTTGGCTTCAAAATTCTAAATTTCTGTCTTTTATTCTCTCACAGATGGTGAGGACACGTATAGCCGGATCAGAAGATCAGGCACACACGCCCCCTGCTAGAGCCGCCAGAGGCTGGGGTAGAGGCTAAAGACATCCATGTAGTGTAGCCAGAGCACCTGCATGATCTGCCAGAGAGGAGCCACCAGCATCTCCAGTCGGAACGCAGGCATCTGAGATGCCAACTACTGCACCAGCTCTTCGGGATACCCATGCACAATTCCTGAGCATGTTTAGTTTAGTAGAGTCTCGTGGATCGGTACAAAGACGTTTGTACTTATCTTAAGGAGGCTATGGAACTATTAGGCAAATTTCACTTCTTTTGATTCCTTGTCGTGCAAAATTGTTGGCTTTGAAATTCTAAATTTCTATCTTATATTCTCTCACATATGACGAGGACACGTACAGCCAGATCGGATGACCAAGCACCCGCGTCCTACTAGAGACGCCAGAGGCCGGGGTAGAGGCTGCGGACATCCACGTGGTGTATCCAGAGCACCTGCACGATCTACTATAGAGGTGCCACCAGCAACTCCAGTCGGAGCGTAGGCATCTGAGATGCCTACTACTGCATCAGCTCTTTGGGAGACCCATG